AAAAAAAAGATGTTTAACTTTTTATTTATTTGTTTTTGTTCTGTTTATATTTCATTTTTATTATTCTTTATGTATTTATTGTTTTGTATTCTGGGTGTGTGTATTTTATTGCTATGACTGTATCCCCTTGTGAATGTTATATCTTCAATAAAATAAATAAATAAATAACTAATCAATTCTTTTTCCGGCTCAGACTGAATAGGGTAAGTTTAAGGGTCTGTCACGTGATGAACGAATGACTCGAAAAACCCGAAGACTCGAGAGATGAACTAATCAATTCTCTTTCCGGCTCAGACTGCATTGGTTAAAGCGTATGGGGCTGTCACGTGATGAACGAACGCCTCAAACCCGAAGACTTGTCAGATAAGAGGTGAGGTGAGCTAATCATAGACTGACCTCAGGTAAACAATTAATTAATCTTTTCTGTTTCTTATTGCAGTTTTGTATTGTTTGTAATGTGATCAACGTTTGCATTAGTAGACGTGTTAGGGAAGTAACACGTAACATTTTAATTGTATTTTGCTAAAATGAACGAAATGACTCGAAAAAAAGATTCGTTCATTTTGATGAACGAGACTCAAAGGTCCGAGTCGGTAAAATTATCCGAACTTCCCATCACGCATAGGTTTGTGCAACACTGTAAATATATGTACCTTTTTAAAAATATTCCATTAAACCTGCTGAGATACAAGGAGCATGAACTGAAATGCTCAGTTCCACTTGGTTCCACGCGCATGTCCGAGAAACTCATGAATATTCATGTATGCTCCGCCCACTGAAACCGAAAATCACTGAAACCGAAAATCACGGAAACCAAAAATCTCGTTAACACCGGCGCGTTCGCGAGATAGTGACAACAGTCAACACTTTCACTTCAGTAAAGAGGTCTCTTGTTCAGGCAGCAGCATTCAAGCATGGTCTTATTCGACCGTAAGTGCCCTGCGAAGTGGACTTCACATGAAATTCCGCCATGATTCCAGTTCCAAGGCAACGTACACGTTACATTCAAAGGGACAGCACATGGACAGAAAGCTGCTGTCACAACGAGGCTGAATTCAGCTTCTTATCCACAGCTTCTTATTGACGCTATCCGTTCCACCTTAAAAACGCGTTTCTTATCTTCTTATTCATGCAATTTAGGGACCGTCTCTATTTGTGTCTCTTTTTCAGAAACAACAATAAACTATTTTAAAATGTTAATAACACTGAGATCAGAGCGAAAACCGGCTGTAAGCATTAAATCTAATTACATAATATGTTAATTATTAAACGTGCATGTCATCCTTTGAGTGCAGTAATGATTTTTTTAATCTATCCTCTTATGAAGACTTCATATGACCCAGCACCTGTGAATAGAGGACTCTAGATACAAAATGATGACATTTTCATTGCTTTAAAATGCACACAAAGTTTGCTTAAATGAATATATGGTATTTGTAAATACTATCATTTGTACTAGACTTCAACTGTTCTTTCTGATACCCACTCCTATGAAGACTATTCTGGTTTTATAACAGAAAAACGTGCATTTTACTGTAAAGCTGTTCTGAAACAATATGTGTTGGGAAATGCGTTATACAAATAAATATGAATTAAACTGAATGAGCCATTGCATTGTTGGTTACTGTACCATGTTGTCTCCGAGGGTGTTTTGAAAGTTATACCCAGTGTGCTTGTCCATTATAAAAAAAAATAAAATAAAAAAATATATATATATCTCAGACATGTTGACTGTATCATTTAGAAGATGGACCTATAAATATGACATATGTGACTATACAGTTAAATAGGCCCTTGCACTGATTGCCCAATTGGTGGCGCTATATCTCAACTTCCTTTGAGGGTGCGTTAAAAGATTCATTAGAGGCTTTAATGTCTGAAAAGATTTAGGCATTTTTACGGTACCATTTTGAAGTTATGGACCTATAAATTTGACATATATGACAATATAGACTTGAGCTATTGCATTCATGGCCCTATTGGGGGCGCTATATCTCAGCTGTCCTTGAAGGTGCGTTGAATGTTTCACTAGGGCCTTATTCACAGGGCCGTTGACTGTTACCATGCAAATTTTCAGACATTTTTACTGTAGCATTTTGAAGTTGTGGACCCATAAGTTTGGCAGATATGACTATACAATAGGAGAAATTGCATTATTGGCCCAATTGGAGGCACTATATCTCAGCTTCCTTTGAGGGTGCATTAAATGTTCCACTGAGGTCATATTCCCAGTGCACTTGACTGTAACCACACACATTTTCAGACATTTTTACTGTAGCATGTTAATGTTATGGACCCATAAACTTGGGTGATATGACAATACAGTAACTGGAGAACATTGCATTATTGTCCCAATTGGAGGTGCTATATATCATCTGCCTTTGAGGGTGCTTTAAAAGTTCCACTGGGGCCTTATTCCCAGGGCCCCTGACTGTTACCATGCAAATTTTCAGATATTTATACTGTAGCATTTTTAAGTTATGGACCCATACATTTGGCAGATATGACGACAACAACGGGAAAAATAGCATTATTGCCCCAAATGGCATCGCTATATCTCAGCTTCCTTTGAGGGTGCGTTAAAATTTTTACTGTGGTCTTATTCCCAAGGCACTTGACTGTCACCAGGCAAATTTGCAGACATTTTTACAGTAGCATTTTGAAGTTATGGACCCATAAATTAGGCTGATATGACAATACAATAAGAGGAGAAATTGCATTATTGGCCCAATTGGTGGCACTATATCTCAACTTCCTTTGAGGGTGCGTTAAAATTTCCACTGGGGCCTTATTTCCAGGGCCCTTGACTGTGACCATGCATATTTTCAGATTTTTTTACTGTAGCATTGTTAAGTTATGGACCCATACATTTGGCAGACATGACAATACAATAACAGGAGAAATTGCATCATTGGCCCAATTGATGGCGCTATATCTCAGCTTCCTTTGAGGGTGCATTAAAGGTTCCACTTGGGTCTTATTTCCAATACATTTGACTGTTGCCTTGCACATTTTCAGACATTTTTACTGTAGCATTTTTATTGGCAGATATGACAATAACAGGAGAAATTGCATTATTGTCCCATTTGCAGTCTCCAGTTACTGTATTGTCATTTCTGCCAAACTTATGGGTCCATATCTTCAAAATAATAATGCAATTTCTCCTGTTATTGTATTGTCATATCTGCCAAATGTATGGGTCCATAACTTAAAAATGCCACAGTAAAAATGTCTGAAAATTTGCATGGTCACAGTCATATGCCTTGGGAATAAGACCACAGTATGACTTTTAACGCACCCTCAAAGGCAGCTGAGATATAGTGCCTCCAATTGGGCCAACAATTCAATTTATCCTATTGTATAGTCATATCTGCCAAACTTTTGGGTCCATAACTTCAAAATGCTACAGTAGAAATGTCTGAAATTGTGTGTGGTTACAGTCAAGTGCACTGGGAATATGACCTCAGTGGAACGTTTAACGCACCCTCAAAAGAAGCTGAGATATAGCGCCACCAATTGGGCCAATAATGCAATTTCTCCTGTTATTGTATTGTCATATCTGCCAAATATATGGGTCCATAACTTAAAAATGCTACAGTAAAAATATCTGAAATTTTGCTTGGTCACACTCATATGCCTTGGGAATAAGACCACAGTATGACTTTTAACGCACCCTCAAAGTCAGCTGAGATATAGCGATAGCTGTATGAATGCAATAGCTCAAGCCTATATTGTCAATATGTCAAATTTATAGGTCCATAACTTCAAAATGGTACCGTAAAAATGTCTGAATCTTAGCCTCTAATGAAACTTTTAACGCACCCTCAAGGACAGCTGAGATTTTGCGCCTCCAATTGGGCAATCAGTGCAATGGCCTATTCAACTGTATAGTCACATATGTCATATTTATAGGTCCATCTTCTAAATGCAATACAACAACAATGCAATGGCTCATTCAGTTTAATTCATATTTATTTGTATAACGCATTTCACAACACATATTGTTTCAGAGCAGCTTTACAGAAAATGCATGTTTTTCTGTAACAAAACCAGAATAGTCTTTATAGGAGTGGGTATCAGAAATGGGTATTTACATTTTAAAATAGTTCATTGTTCGTTTCTGAAAAAGAGACACAAATAGAATAAGAAGCTAAGAAACGTGGAAGCGTTGCGTTTTTAAGGTGGAACGGATAGCGTCAATAAGAAGCTGCGAATAAGAAGCTGAATTCAGCCTCGTGCTGTCACAGCATGCGAGTACTAAGTTTAAGTTAAAAACACACCAGTTACAAAAACAGTCGGTTATGTCTGTGAAGGTAAACAGCTGGGAAATAAATTGCTTATTTATTTTAGATCTGTGTGGCAGCAGCAATTTACAGTAGCCTAAATAAATCAATAAATCCACTGCTCTCTTGTCTCCTCTGAGGCTGGGACTCGAAATATTGTTCTGTGCTTGTCTGTGCAGCCAAAGACAGAACAGTTAGCATGTTTTGCTCAAACTTTTGCCATGGCATTAGAGCTGGTACACTGTTGTCGTTTGCGAAATCAAATGACAGCGCCGTGGGTGGAAACTTACAGATTAAGAGGTGGTAATCAGTGTTGGGGAAAGTTACTTTTAAAAGTAATGCATTACAATATTGCGTTACTCCATAAAAAAGTAACTAATTACGTTACTTAGTTACTTTTTATGGAAAGTAATGCGTTACTTTACTAGTTACTTGAAAAAAGTAATCTGATTACGTAACTTGCGTTACTTATTTGAAAAAGTAACTCAGATATTCTCTTGTAAATTAAAAAGTAATGCGTTACTTTACTAGTTACTTGAAAAAAGTAATCTGATTACGTAACTTGCGTTACTTATTTGAAAAAGTAACTCAGATATTCTCTTGTAAATTAAAAAGTAATGCGTTACTTTACTAGTTACTTGAAAAAAGTAATCTGATTACGTAACTTGCGTTACTTATTTGAAAAAGTAACTCAGATATTCTCTTGTAAATTAAAAAGTAATGCGTTACTTTACTAGTTACTTGAAAAAAGTAATCTGATTACGTAACTTGCGTTACTTGTAATATATTACCCCCAACACTGGTGGTAATATTATAATGAGTTTGCTTTGCCACATCACCAAGGGTTCGAAATCAGATGCTTGCAGAAAAAGGCTTACCAAAACAAAGTTACTGGGTAAATTTTTTTCACGTTTCCTTGGTTGGTAGATGCACCAGGGACCTGATTATAGCACTTAAAACCTGGAAAAGTTAGATTTTCATGATATGTCACCTTTAAAAGATTTGTTTAAAAACACAAATTCGTTCATTACTAGCATCACAGGAGGCTGAAAGCAGGTGGAAACCTTCATCTTTTAAATGCCTTTTAGAACAATTAAAGGGAATTAAGCATAATTTGTAAATGAACTGTTATTTAAAATAAAAGTTAAGTCGTCAATGTTTACGGGACTGAAACTTGATTTGAATGTTAGTAAATGTCTGAAAGCTCAGTAGGAGAATGTTTCAAGTGAGCGTTTTAAATAAGCACCCGACTATTTTTTAAGCAAAGATAAAATAGATTTAATTTAAGATAAAATAGATTTCATTTTAGTTGAATTAAAAGAGTATTACACAGAGCTTCAGTTGAGATCTTATGGTTAGGCTACTTGTTGATTTTGACATTTTTACACTTCCTTGACCACTAGCCTACTAGCAAGCAAACGCACACATGCAAACCGACTTCCTGTGTGACATTAGAAGGTTTGCGTGTGCAGTATTTGTATAGCCTCAGACGGAAAGATGCTCAGACTTCTCAGACTATCTCGCTGTGTATCATAATTTCTGAGCGTGGGCATGAAGGAAGATTCTAATTGTGGACTTGACGTGACATTTTAGTATCCTTTGAGCAAACAGCAGTGACTTGCATGACACATTGCTCCTCACACGTGTGATGTGAAACATGGATCATCCTGCGTATCATGGGCCGATAAGCAAACAGAGATGTGAGGAGCTGCTCTGCAAGAAAGGACGAGATGGAACATACCTCATTCGGGACAGCGAGACCATTCAGGGAGCTCTCTGCCTCTGTGTGTAGTGAGTATTGTTTTCCTATTCACATTGGTAGTTTTGTTTTTTAAGAAACTGATGACTTTATCAAGGAATCATTTTGGAATAATGCGTTCTTTATGGTGTAATCTCCCACTTCATCTAATTTCCTTGCCACCAACCGATACAAGATAGATAGGTCGTTAGTATTCACTTAAATTAATGGATGAATTAAGACTAAAGGATGGATCAAACTGATTTTCTGCTTTATTAGTTTAGTAGCTACTACCATAAGAAAAAAGTATTGACAGCTGATAGTGTTGAGAAAAATAACTATATTTTGCATATCACACGTATTAAATGCAATAGCTAGCCTATTTGTCTTGCTGGCTACTGTTAGGAACTACGTAATTAAATATAAACTCAGTTCACAGCAGCTCAGACATGGAAAGCAGCTCTTTAGAATGAAGGCAGACATTGATATTGATTAGGCTTTTAAATGTTTTAATATCTGACGGTGTTGAAAACAGTCAGGACTCTTATAAAACCTTATAAACTGACATGTAGTTTTAGCAGTAGTGAGTGATAATAAAATGTAAATATTTTTTATGTATAAAATAGGAATAAAATCAAATGGTTCAGTTTAGGGATGCACCGAAATGAAAATTCTTGTCCGAAGCCGAACAAAATGAAACTGGGCCGAAGGCCGAACACGGTTTTTCAAGTTTTTTCCCCCATTTTGCCAATTTTTTCATCATTGCATAAATAAATAGCCAACATGTGCTTTTTACTGTTATGTCTTGCTTTTCAAAGAATTTTTTTTTTTACAAAACAATTATTTAAAAATATTTACGTAACACTGAACATTTTTTTAGCATTCTAGCAGACATTATACCAATAAAACACAACTTAACTTAAAATTAATAAGTTAGTAAAATAATATTTTTGGCCATTTTTAGACCCCCTTCTTGAATCAGGCATGTATTTTTGCCTTACAAATAAATGCAGCCTTGCTGAGCAGAAGAGACTTCTTTTAAAACATTAGAAAATATTATAGATCCTGGTCTGAACACTGTGTGTAAATGTTACAATAAATGTTTTAATAGAGCTGTTGTAATTATTATTTTCATTATTATTTTATTTTACAGAGCAACAGTAAAATTACAATAATAACATTTATTAATGTTGACGAAGTTCTTGCTTTTTCTCAACTTGTATTTTGGCAGAAACCCGCAGGAAGACCTCAGTGCTTCTTTTTGTTGACAAATGAATTACGTATTTGGGAAGACGTTTGTTGCACGTATCGCATTGTCACATTTTGGCCTTTGAACCCTACCGCGGCGAGCTCGTGCAGCGCTGTTTGAACACATGCAATTCCTGCGTGCATTAAAAAACATAACATTCTGCAGTTTATTTAATTGTTTAAGGACATTTCGCGATGTTAATCATCACAGTAACCAGCAACTTCCTCTTCTCATCGAAGACATGTGATGCAGTACTAAACAGTCTCTCGCTGTCGGTGTTTGTAATGATTCTCGCGTCTTTCTCGGACAGCCGTTTCCACACTGACACACTCAGACATGTTTTAGAATGTGCATGTATTTAAAAAGTATAAAGAATTTTATGATGTCAGTTTCTCAACTACCCTCTTAAGGGTATTTACATTTGGCAGACGCTTTTATCCAAGGAAATTGACACGGCATTGAAGTCATATACTTTATCTGTTCATGGTACTGTATGTTGTGTATGCCATGCTCTACCGTGTGATCTTCAGGACAACATACGGAAGTGCTTTTCCACACCACTTCTGTTTAAAATCACTTTTTTTGTGTGTGTGAAATTTGGTAAGAGTTAATGTTTAAGATAAGCTGTTTTTACAAGATATTTTGTTTGTGTTTCATTATGGTGAATCCATTTAGGATCAGAAACACAATATATATAACTGCAGTACAAGATTATGAGATGCATTATTTGAATGCTTGGCCAAAGAGATGTGTCTTTAATCTAGATTTAAACAGAGAGTGTGTCTGAACCCCGAACGTTATCAGGAAGGCTATTCCAGAGTTTGGGAGCCATATGCGAAAAAGCTCTACCTCCTTTAGTGGACTTTGCTATCCTAGGTACTACCAATAGTCCAGAGTTTTGCGACCTTAAGGGAGCGGGATAGATTGTAGCGTGGTAGAAGACTAGTTAGGTACGCAGGAGCTAACCCATTAAGGGCCTTATAGGCAATCTGTGTACTGTCTTTTGGTCCAATAAGTAATATTATTATAATAGTATAATATTAAGTCTTATCCGTATTTAATAGGAGAAAATTATTGGTCATCCAATCTTTTACATTTTTAACACTCTCTGTTAGCTTAGATAATTTAGAAGTTTCATCTTGTCTTGTTGAGATATATAGTTGAGTATCATCGGCATAACAGCGGAAACTAATTCCGTATTTTCTTATAATATTACCAGCACTGCAGTTTATCTTTTGGTGCGATGAATGAAGCTGACGTATTATACGCTGTAGAATCTACATTTGTTATTGTATTTCTGATGTTATCTATTTTATCAGTGAAGAAATTCATAAAGTCATTACTATTAAACTGTGAAGGAAATATTTAGATCGGGTGGCGTCTGGTTATTTGTTAATCTAGCCACTGTTCTAAATAAAAACCTTGGATTGTTTTGGTTATTTTCTATGAGTTTGTGGATATGCTCGGTCCTGGCAGCTTTTAGAGCCTGTCTATAGCTGGACATACTGTTAGTATGTTAGTTAGTTAGTTTTTCTCCATAGTTTCGCTCAAGACTACAAGTTTTTTTTCTTGAGAGAATGGGTATTACTGTTGTAACATGGCACAGTACGTTTTTCCCTAACCTTTTTCAATTTTGATGGGGGCAACAGCTTCTAATGTATTAGAGAAGATAGTGGCCATGTTGCTAGTCATTTAGTCTAGTAATCTAGATCTGGTACATAAGTGCACACAGTAGAGACAAAATGTGAAAATATTATTGACTATGCAGTGAAACATATACTGCTCAAATTTAGACAATAAATTGGAAACTACAGTGGCTACTGCACATTTAGGGGCCATTCTAGTAATGTTAAAATTAGAAGCAATTCAAGGGGCTGGCATGTGTTTGTTTCTGTTTAGTTCCTGTCTGCTCTTATTTGGTTCAGTTCCTGTTCTCATTTAGTTAATCATCGTTTATTCAGATCACCTGTGTTGTATTATTCATCTTGTTTGCTCCTTAGTTTGCCTGTACTTATAAGCCCTCAGTTTCTGTCTATTCTTTGTGCTGGATTAATGTTATTTTCAACGGTCTGGTTTTTCAAAGTGTGTTGATGTTTATTAAAGACTCCTTTACTTCTGCTCCTTCGTGCGCCTTTTCTACGACCACGACCGTGTGACAGGGGCCCACAACAATCTCTATATTTTCTGTATAAAAAAATGTAAAGTGCCCAGAGCAGTATACTGTATAATCAGGAGATGCAGAATAACTAAATTCGTCCCTGGCCATTCGCAAAGAATGTGTATTGTTCTTGCATCTTGCTTGCATCTTTTAATTGCTTAGGTAGGCTACATTGAGTCATATAGACATTTTTGGCCATTGCATTTTGTTCATTGCCTCATGTTCTGAATTGCACATGTTCAGTGAAGCACTTCAAATGTCTCTTATGAAGAGCCCTGCGTTACATTCTAGGGAAAGAATCCTGTGCAATTGTATATCAGTTGCATATCAGGGATCCAAGTGTTACAGTTTCTAATTTCAGTGTGTTCTGAATGTTTTTAGACAATATATGCTAAGACTGAAATATAATTTCTCTAGAAGTCTTTGAATGGTAAATAAATGTTGCAGTAAATAATGAAGCTCGGATATCATTTATACGTATTACTGTTATTACAAACCCAATTCCAAAAAAGTTGGGACACTGTACAAATTGTGAGTAAAAAAGGAATGGAATAATTTACAAATCTCATAAACTTATATTTTATTCACAATAGAATATAGATAACATATCAAATGTTGAAAGTGAGTATGGTAAAGTAGCTTTACTTGTTGATATTTCTTGTTGGCAGCATTTTAACAGTCTGTGTGCATAATGCACTGTAGATAGACGAAAACAAACAATAAATACTAAAAGGCTAAACTTTGAAAATCTAAAACAAGTGAGTGTCATTTGGCCTTGCATAGCACCTAATTAAAAAAACACCTTAATGAAGAGAGAACTGAAAGTCCAAACATAGCACAACATTTCCTGAAGGCCACAGAAACCCTGACTATCAAGTTTTTAAGTTTATGATTTAATGTAAATTAACTATGTTCACTTAATTAATTATTTACTTATTTATGCATTTTTACAGCAAACAAAAAGTGGTCTATACTTACAGGATCCTCCAAACCCACACTGGATACTTCACTCTACAGGTAGGATAATCTAATTGATTTGCACTGGTTTGCCAACAAATATGATTACGAATAAATCTATAAATATATCACAACACAATTTGTTTCAGGCTAGCTCAGGTGTAGAGGAGAAGTTTTTCAAGACGTTGAAGGATCTTATTCGTAATTACAAGCAAAAGAATCAAGGACTTGCAACACACTTATGCCGTTCGCGGAAAAGAAAAACGCTGCAAGATCAGCCAATGCAATGTGCAGAACCACTAGTGCCCAACGAGGAAAATGACTATGAAAGTGAGTGTCGACTGTTACAATATTAGACATTAGCAATTATGAGACATTACCAATGTCATTACAATGAAACATTATTAGACAATTACAATTAGCAGGAATCAGCCTTGCTGATTTTTTTCTCTTTGACAGAGAATTGAAATATTTAATTTACCCAAATTAATTGTGAACACTTGTTTTTGTCTCTCTCAGATGTTGACTGCTCAGGGGACTATGTTGTTGTTCTGCCGGACTGATTTAGTCACAATGTGACGCTCTGACCGGATAACTGGATCAGCTAATATGAACGATTTAGATGTGCTATTACAGTTTGCACATCTAAAAAATACAGTTGCAAAATATAAACTCAGAATTCCGGGTTTATATCTCATAGTTCTCAGAGTCTAAACCTCACAATTCTGAGTTTATATCATGCAGTTCTGAAGAAATGAGAATTGTGACAAAAAGGTCAGAATTGTGAGATAAGAAATGCAAGGAAAAATGTCAAAACTGTGACAAAGTCACAATTACCTTTAAATTTTTTTATTCTGTGGCATAAATAGGCTTTCATAGGATTTTGGTGTCATTTGTTACAAGTTATAGTATCCTCATAACCATTTGAGTGAAAAGTTAATTTGAAAAATTAACATAGTTTTCAGAATGTCTTGGTATTTGGGATTGCTTTAATGACAAATGATTTAATGTACAGAGGAGTTCACATGGTCAATGTCACATGTTTGATTTAGTGTCCTAAAAATAGTGCAAAATATTAAATATTGTTTATTTTACAACATTCTAGAAATTCTAAAACTTGGTTTTAGATTTTGAATGTGGTCTCAGACTTTTAAAGTCATTGTTTGTCATTGGCCAATAAAGTGTTGGTTGGAATTGTAATACTAATCTGGATGAGAGAGAAATATTAGGTTTGTATTTTGTGCTTGATGACCTGCTCATAACTCAAGGACAAGAAGAGATTTTTTTTATTGTATATGTTTGTTGTTGTTGTTGTTGTTGTTAGAGAATGTGTAGGCCTATCTGTATATAGTATGTACAGTTTATAAATATAATCAAATTTTATCTCGAACAGAGTCTATAATAATGTATGCCATATGAATGGACTGTCTTTAGGTTTTAACATGTAAATATATATATACATTTATGTACCATTTTCTTTACCACAACTTAAAATAGATTGGCCCACATTGGACAGTCAAACTGTTTCCGTTACACTGTTCTATGTGGTCAAAGAGAGCAAATGATGTAGCTTGATGTTACTATCTGATTTTAAATTTGGTTGGCATCTTTAATAAATAAATTACATTAAAAAAATGAGTCATTGTGTATGAAGTTTACAATGAACTGGCAAATGTCTTGCCAGAGTTTTCTTGTATGAACACAACCCCAAAAATGCAAGACAGTTTCTGGTTGTGAATCACAGAAAGTACAGTTCACATTTATGCTTAATTTAAATTTTGACACAATAAAGGTTTTAACTGGATAGTATTGATGAATAAAATTAAAAGAAATCTCTTTAATTGAAAAGAGTACACATACCCCAACTATGACGTACTTACGTCAGGGCGTCGTCGAATTCTGGCTCTCAACCATTCTTCACAGAAAGGGGGTTAAAGCTTTTCTTAAGAACATTAAAAAAGAGAGAGATTAACATAAAACAAACAGAAAATCCACTGATTCAATAATTAAGAGTTGTGGTGAATCGTAAAAATGTTTTGTCCTATATTTTATATTTAAATATTTAGATATATTCCTAAATGTTTCCATTATCCCCCTCCCCTTTTGGATAATGAACTCTTCCGGCGATTCGAAGTGTTAGCGGGAGGAAGTTGCTGTTGTAGCGAACAGTGGAGAATTTAATATAAGCTTTTGAGTAAATGCTACTTTAAATAACATACTAGTAAATATCATTGTTAAAACAGAAGTCACCTCCATGCTTGATGAAAACATTGTACGGGAGAGAATACGATATATCTGTTATTTAATCTCAGTAACAGCGTCTATTATCAACTAGCATAGCCTACTGAATGTTTACAAAACCTACCGCGAAACTGTTCAGATAGTTTCCTCATATCAGTTAAAATTTTTAGTTCAAGTCAGCCATTGACCGACCTTGGGTGTAAAGATGGATGTATCGACCTGTTTGAAGTCTCTACTGTTGGCCATTCGTCAGTACAGAAATAACAGAAGCGCATTAAATGCATCACAGCTGCAGAAACACATTGAAGTGAGTGAAAACATTTATCTGTGGGGTTATTGAAAACACTCAGTTTTATTTGTGTGATCTATCCAATCATTTAGTCACCTTCAAGTTGTGCCAAAGTCCAAAAAGTCTTTTAATTCTTATGTGAAACATAAGGGAATGACAGTTCATACAATGAAAGTGAATGGTGACTGAGGCTGTCATTCATCTCCTTTAATGTTTAGGAAGAAAAAAGGGTATTTCTTAAATATTCAACATCATTTTTCTAGTTATATTCTAAAAAAATAGTTTTTTAATCTTTTGGGTGCCACAAACCCCCAAAAGACTGAAGGACCTTCATACTAAAATTAAAAAGCAGCTATATATTATTTTATGTATAAAGACCCCAAATTGATATTATAAATATGCTTTTCTATAAATTGTGAATGATGCAATCTCTTTTCTGTAATAATAGATGACTGGAAAAGACAGAAACTGGGTCATTAAACAGTCAAACTCATTGTGGTCAAAAGAATGTGTAATTTTACATGTCATTTCCTTTAATCAGGGTTCCCACGCTTCTTGAAAGTACTTGAATTTCAGACATATGGATTCAAGGCCTGGAAAGTACTTGAAAACAAACATAGGTCCTTGAAAGTGCTTGAATGAAATTAGAAATACATTTTGTTTATGGCGCTATTTCAAAAATTGTCCTATATGTTCTGTCAGACAGAACGAAACAGCACTAATGATTGGGGTGGAGATGGGGTAGCGCGGAAAAAAAAACAAAAAAACATGTGTTTGTTGATGCGCAGCCTAGAGCCCTGAGCGGGACAGTTTTCTTAAGCCCGCTCCCGCTGAATTTCTGACCATTACCGCCTGCTCCCGCAAACAATCTAATATTGTGTATTAGAGGGATTAAAGGGGTCATATGATGCGATTTCAAGTTTTCCTTTCTCTTTGGAGTGTTACAAGCTGGTTGTGCATAGATAAGATCCCTGAAGATGCAAAGACTAAAGTCTCAAAACCAAAGAGATATTCTTTATCAAAGTTAAGACTCTGCCACGCCCCCTAAAACGTCTCGTTCTAACACGCCCCCACATATCTACCTCACTATGTGGAAATATTTGCATAATGCCGCCCAAATGTGCATGCAAAGAAAGAAGGCATGGTTTCAGTAACTGCAGTTAGTGTTGAAGCAGCCATGTCAGGGAGACGCTGTGTGTTTCTAGGCGAAAGCAAAAGCACTTTATTTGGCCTTCCGAAAGTAGATGCATTTAGGAATCTTTAAGATTACTTACAACAGAACAGCAATGCATTTTATGGACGACCGTTTCGTGAACCTAGGAGAGGAGGTAATTCTGACTTTGCTATGACAATCTGGCGCTTCTGAATCAGCTACTGTTTTGTTATTAGTTTAAGTATTTGCTATTGACTGTTCAAATGCGGAGTTTTGCGCAT